ACAGTGGTTATCCATTAGCTCAAATGTTCGGGTGCTGAGAAGTGTGTTAGGAATATTTCTTAATATTAGCTACCTACTGATGCAAAAAATTCCCAATCAAGCCAAATCAAAACAAGCCAAATTAAGAAATTTCCAGGTTTAATGGGAGATCTGCTCTCTCGGGAGGCCTGGAAGGGGAACCAGGAAGCCTCAGAAATGCAACCCTGGACCCCCAGGAGGAAGAGAAGGAGACCCTGTGTTCCTCTTTCCGGAGATCACTTAAGTACCCTGGGCTGCTGGGATTTCTAGTCCTGACCAGGCCTGGGGGCTGGGATAGATGCGAGGGACTGGGGCCTATGCTCCCAACTTGACAAAGTGCACCTAGGGTCTTGCGTGTGCTAAGTGTATTTTCTTTGTCCAAGGTGTGTCCCATCTCCTGAGAAATATTTTATTCTAATTTTCTTTCAGAATATTTAAAGGCTAGGTTTAAGACTTCAGAATTCCCTTTTAACAAACAGCCCCTTAGGTTGCTGGACTGCGAGTCTTTTCCTCTCCTTCCAGTCCTTGACGTTCTCTGCAGTGTTGTTCATTCGTGGTTCGTTCAATTACTAATTGTGTATTGAATGTGCATTGTGCACTGGCCCCTATGGGAGACTCTGCAGGTAAAATAGTGACCAAAGTCTCTGCCCCTGTCTTCAGAAGGTTTGTAGTCCATGCCAGGTTCCAGCACTGGGGGGGAGGGCAGGGCCAGCTGGCAGATTTTATGATTTTTTTTACACAGATGGTTTCTGTTGCAACTGCCCAGCTTGTCATTGAAGCATCAATACTGGCATCCAGAATACATGAATCAATGTGCAGTTCTGTGTGCCAATAAAACTTTATTCGCAAAACTAGATCTGGAATTGGATTAACTTGCAGGTCCTAGTTTGTGGACCACTGATCAAATGGCTTCTTAGAAAACAAAGAGAGACTCAGTGAGAAGGACCTGGGAGGGGTCAATGACAGGATTCGGTGAAACACATAGAAAGATGGCCTGACACTCAAGAAGGGGCGTCCTGCAGATCACCTGAAACAGCAAAGTTTCCACTAAGATTAGAAAGGTGTGTAAGCTGGGTCTGAGTGGGAAGGCAGTGGAAGGATGGGTGTTTGTGGATAACATGGGGTGAGGGGCCAGAGAATAGCCCGGCTGCACCGTGAGGAATAAAGGGAGAAATGGCAAGAGATTGACCCTGGGGGCAGAACTTGACCTTTGCCCTTTCGTGTATTAAAATAACATGTAAGCTTCACACCATTCAGTCTCGGAATGTTTCCTTTAAAGAAACAGGCAGAACCAAGGGAAGGAAGCTGGTGTGGAGGGCTTCATTTTAGACTAGTGGCTGGCCTGGTGTAGGCTTGGCTGTCTCTAGTCATCATAAGAACATGGCAGGGAAAGAAGAGCCAGCAGTGACAGCCATCTAGCCTTACTCCCCAGTTAGCATTGTTTCTCAATGACTCGCCTGCCTTTTCTGATCCTATTCGCTGTGGCTCAGAAAAGTGTGGATGAGAGAGCCTAATCCAGTGGTTCTCAACCAGTGGGTCACGACCCCCTTGGCAAATTTGTATCTCTAAAATCATTTACATTACAATTTACAACAGTAGCACAATTAGTTACAAAGTAGCAACAGAAGTAATTTTATGGTGGGGGGCATCACCACAACATAAGGGACTCTATTAAAGGGTCGCAGCGTTAGGAAGGTTGAGGCCCAGTGGCCTAATCATTTCCACCACGGGGTCAGTAACGCGAAGCACCTGCTCTGAAAAGCAACTGAGTGTTTAACAGTTACAGCCGGGCCATATTTGTGGTTTCACCCCATTTAAAAAATAACAGCACAGGCTGCCCAAGGATAGACTAGGCATCCCCTGTCACATTTTCAACAAGTCCTCAGACATCCTGCAGCGGGACAGTTTTGGTTCGTGTGAAGTCAGTAACCTCGCACAGTGCTTTCTGCTCTAAACCCCTTTTCTGCTGTGGTCTGCGGAGGTGGCGCCTGACCTGCCTGGCTCTTAGAAGCCCTTGATCTTCCGCGTCGCCCCTGGTCCCAGTGTAAATCCACAGCAATTCCAGTCCCATTCCATCTCCTGAGCCCACTGTGGGGAGAAGCAGGGACACGACTGTTGTGATGGAAAGGGGCCTCTCTCCACAAGTTGGGTGACCCTGCTCCCCAGATCTGAGGGACCTCTGTGCTCATCTTGACAGACAGCCCCTAGAGTTAAACCCCGTGTCCACTCCAGTCTTGTGGTGGAATGCCCAGGACTGCTGTAGCTTTACATGGTCTCTGGCCTTCTGGGCTAGTTTTCTTAGACGACTCCAAGCTATCCTCATGGTCTGAGGCTACCTCTGGGTGGGCCTGAATGAGAGGAGAAAGGAAGGGTGCGAGGGTTATGTTTCTGTTTGTGTTCACAGGTGGTCCCTGACTGAATGATCCTCAAGTAGGATTTTCTACACTTAAGATGGTGCCATTCTGAAAAATTATTTCATTTTCGCTTTCAGTGTAGGACTCAATAAACCACATGAGCTATTCACTATATAGGATATATATTCTGTATAGGTGGAGGATAAAATTTGTGTTTGGTGGTTTTGCCCAATGGTAAGCTAATGCAAGTATTCTGAGCATGTGTGTGGCAGACGCTGGACCAAGCCGTGATGTAGGTAGTTTAGGATGGGGCTCAGATGTCCTTACACTGTCGTAGGCAAAGTTATCAGGAAGTTTTGCTTACCGATTGAGGGAGTTTCCGGTAGCAAAGGCAGGGTTTAAACTTCTGATCTTCCTGACTCCACCTCCTGGGTTCTGGATTACAAACATGCCTACTGCCTTTGTATTCACCTACTGATCTCTTGCACAAAGCCCTTTGTAATCTGATGCAAATATATATATATATTTTACAGGCTTTTTTGTTTGTTTGCTTATCTTTTCGTTAAGTGGGTTTTTTTCCACTTTTCAAATGAAAACATCACATTTTTAAGTTTTCAATGTTTTGATCTTTTCTTTGCATTTTGTAAATATGTCTTTTTTAGGCCTCGAGTCTTCCTTCCCCCTGACTGGGTAAGACTGCTTTTGTGGACATGGGTTGGCTCACATCCCCTTGTAACTCTAATTCCAGGGACTCCAACTAGAATTCCTGGCATCTGTGTGCATGTGCATGTGGTACATACAAATCCATGCAGACAGACACAAACAAAATACATAAATACATAAATCTGTATTTCCTTTTAATCAAAGGCATTTAGAGGTTTTAACTTTTAACTCTAATAACTTTTAATTGATTTTAGGATATGGTATGAAGTATTGACCCCCCCCCCTTTTTTTTCTTCTTTCTAAAATAATGCCTGACACCAGAAGCTTAACTGTGTTAAGTGTTTGTAGTTTCCTAGTGGGTTAGAGGTGATCTTGGGTGCTGGGGACGTTAAGAAGAATGAGGAGGACATACCCTGCCCCTTTACCCAGCTGCGCAGAGGAACAACAGAGCCTACACATTTCCTGGCCTGTACAGAGGGTGTCAGAAAAGGATGGGCACTGCCATCTAGGTATAGATGCCCCTGAGTCACCATTCCTTCTAACATAGGTCATGACTCACTCTGAATTTCAGTCACACATGGCGTCCATCCTTTCTGACCCTGACATTTGGCCGTGAGATTGACTAGCAGTGTAAACTCACCTGCTTGCCTAACATGTCACAGAGGGCATCGTGTTTGACTTTCCACAGGTACATGAAGGCAACAGTAAAACTGTTCTTCTGTTGCCACATGTGGTCATTTCCTAAGGCCCGGAGTCCAAGCCTCTCTTACTTAGGTAACGGAATAGGGCCACATGACGAAGGTGCAGATGTCTTTTCATGGTATTTTGTACACTGCCTTGTACAAAAAGCATGTACCAGGTGGTACACCAGGAGGGGATCCAGGTCGTTCTCCTTGAGGACTGTGCCTTAGACATCTCCCACAAGCGAAGGCAGACCGTGAGGAAGTCGTATGCTCTGTGTGTCTTTGCCAGTTTAAAGAAAAGACCTTTGAAGGGAAGGTCATTGGGAGCTGTGTTGGGTGCCATCTGTAGAGGCTGGAGAGATGGCTCAGTAGTTAAGAGCACAGTGCTCTAGCAGAGGACCCAAGTCTGTTCCCGTCACCGCATCAGGGCTGTAACTCCAGCCCCTTTCCCGCCTCCGTGGACAGCTGCATTCAGATGCTCGCACACTGACACATAGGCATGCACAAGATTGAAAATTAAAAAACAAAACATCGAGGGAGCTAGAGCAATGGCTCGGTGGTTAAGAGCACTTTCTGCTCTTGTAGAGGACCTGGGTTTAGGTCCCAGCCCCGACATGGCGGCTCACAACTATCTATATCTTCAGTTCTGGGGAATCCATTGCCTCTTCTGACTTGCAGGCACCAGACATGCATGTGATACACATACCTACATACAAAACACTCATGCACATAAAATAGAAATTGCCATTCAGAAAAGACCTTTAAAAAGATTTCTTATATATAGACTGTGCCTAAACCACAAAAGGGTCACCTAGCATTTACACATTCTAGAAATGACAAAAAAACAAAGTGAATTAGATCAAGGCTGGTGGTCGTTATAACCAACTGTAGTCTGTGTAAATGAGTAAGAGATTTCCTTTAAACGTGGGGCATTATTTGCAATTTTTCTTGCCCAGGCTGAAAGCTATGATATTCTTGGTGTATGGGATTTGTGCTTGTGTTTGTTTGTTTTAACTCCGTGTCACTCAGTTATTTAGTGAAACGTTTAGATCTAGTACAGAGTTGGGTGTGGGTAAAAACTTTTCGGAAACAGCCTTCACTTCACGTAAGAGAACTCATTCTCCCTGCAAGCCCAGAAAAGACTTCAACAATGGCTTGATCCCAGGGGAGGAAGCAAAGCCAAGGGAAGCAAGCTGCACAGCGGTGGGCGACCCAACTCCCATGCTGTAGCGATAGTCCTTGGTCCATCATCTGAACTCTGGTGTTTTGTTCTTCCTTTCAGGAAAAGCTCTGTCTGCCTCATCACATCCTTGAAGAGAAAGGTCTGGTCAAAGTGGGCATGACTGTTCAAGCGCTGTTGGACGTCACCATCACAAAAACTCTGTTCACATGAGGCCCAGCCCCCTCTGCTGGGTGGGCTCAGACTCTACCCAGAGCAGGGGCCTCTGGACTCTGCTCCTGGCACCTATACCTGCTCCCCGACTCGCCACCTACCAGTTCCCTGACCAGCTACGTTGACAAGACTTCACCCGAAGGGAGGATTCGGGTCCTTTTAGAGTTGGTGTCCAGGGTTCAGGTTGGACAGGAGTTGTCTGACAGCCAGTGAGGGAGCTGGCAGAGACCGGAGTAGCTCACCATTGCCTTTTCAACCTCCTCCATCCCTTCCACACTTACCAACTGCCATTACCAAACGCCAAGCACAAACCGTTTCACAGTGAGTCACAGTGGGTCGCGTCTGTTGTACCAAAACCAAACTCCTTGCAGAATCAGTGGTGGGGGGCGGGGAAGGGGATGCAACCAGGTTCTTCTGCCGCCAAATTTTTTCAAGATGTTTCTTGAGACCATTGCCTTTTTTGAGAAACTATTTTCAACACACAAAATATTTATATAAATATTATTTATTAGTGAGTCGTTATTCATCCTTTGGATGCAAATTGTAAATTAGGAGACTATTTTATTACTGCTTTTTTGTGGTTAAACGATTTATTTTAATATTATAAATACTGAGTTATTTTCGAGCCTCTTTGGCACGTAGGAGTTCCAGGTCTCAGTGTTCCTATTTCCTGGTGTATGAGTCAGAAAAGGAAAGTTAAGCAAGAAACACGTGCTTCTGTGACAGAGAGCTGTATTCTGGGGAGGTGACACGCGCCTTTTGATTTGTGGAACATCGTTCTTATTTATATTTCTGCATTCCGTCCAGTTTCCTACATTCCAGCAGCCCTCTTGTCCCCTCTGAGAGTGAACTGACTGAAATCGCGAGCGCACCCCAGAGTTATTGTAAATAGCTATGTGGAAAAAAAAAAGACATATTAAACTTGAAGATGAAATGTGAACAGGTTATTTTTTGATTCATGTTTCTTTTGCTATGCGCAAAACATTCACATTTTAACACAGAGAAGTGGGACGTGTTCAGCATATGTCTTGAGGTATAGTTTTGCACTGTATTTTGGGTAATTGAGTCGTATCTAGCACCAAAGGTAGACACTGAGGAAATGGATGAGGAAATGGAGATGATGGAAGGTCTAACTTAGGGTCTTAAGAGTTGGAGTCAGGAAACCAGCACTTCTTACAACTGCCGGCATTCGAAAAGAGTGAGCTTCTGAAATGTCGACGGGCTCGTTTTTACTGTAACGGAGCTGGTGCTTTTGAAAGAGACCAGACGTGGAAGCTTTGCGGTGTCTGGTAGGAAACTTGGGAAGTGAGGTGGGTCGTGGTGCCTCTGGTAGGCAGCTTCATGCACAGCCAAGCCATGTGGGGAAAGGACAAGTAGGTAGAGTGTGTGAGCAGCCAGTGGGGAGCAAAGACAAGCACATTAGGACTAGAGCAGAACCAGCCGAGGAGAGGAGCTCGACCCACCCTGCGGGTTTGAGAGCTTCGTTGAAGGTTTTGTAGGACTATGCCGGGCAGTCACACCCATGCACACTCACGCTGTAGGTATGGATGGATACCCCAGCCATTCATCTGTCCAAAGCCCGTGAATGCTGACTGCACTTTCACCTCTGTACAAAGCCATTAGCCACAATAGCTACAGGGGGTGACTGTCATGGTAGGTACAGAAGACTTCAGGAGAAATGAGTGCGTTCAGCCGAGACGGACCCTCCACCAGGACATGATGGGGGTTTCTGAACATGGGGTTCCGACCGGCAGCTAGGAAATTACTTCCTATCAAATGTACTGTGCACTTTAACATAAATATATTTTAATACTTTACTGCACAAATACCTGTTTTGTCAGATGGCGTAACAATGTAAAGATGAGAGGGTTTTTAACAGTGTGTTCAACCGGAGCAGCATTCAGAGCTTAGCTACACAAGGATTTGGAATGCTGCGCCTTTGTGGCTTGGCAGCAGGGGGTCCTGAAATATATTTTTACATGTATCTTTGATGACATGAAGCTCAATAACCATTACTTTTGGATATTTTTTTAATTAAAATATTTCTTTTGATATTAATTTTCACTATTTTCTTGAAATTGGCTGTATCATACAAATGGCTTCAAATATTTTGTAAAATGTTTTTTTTTAATGCAGTTCTTGTATGGATGTCTTCAAGATCCTTGTACACTGTTTCTATGTGCAGTGAAATGTGCATGACTGGCTGACAGTATGATAAGCGGACAATGTATATAGTGCAAACCTTTTTATTATTTAACAGCCATTAAAATGTTGAACTTGTACCAACCACCTTTGGGTTGACTTATCAGTGTGATGCTAATGTTGACTACACACACACACACACACACACAAACATAAGGTACCATTGCTGAAATAGATCATAGCAATCATATATTGTGAATATACATGAATCTAACTTTGTATATAATATATATAATTTCTCTTGTAACTTCTATTTCAATAGTTAGAATCTTACTAAATCAATGTGTAATTTAAATTGATAAATATGAAAAAATAAGGTTCCGTACTGTCTGTAGTTGTAGGTCTTTGAGCAGCTGCTAGGTTGAGGATTAAAGGGCACATGGGGAAGAGAATACACATGTAACCCCATCTTTAGAGAATGTGTGTGTGTGTGTGTTGGGTTAGTAGAAATTCCTTTTACGTTCAGGTATTAGGGTGTGTGTGCTGGGGTAGTAGAATTCCTTTTACATTTAGGTACTAGGCATCAATGAGAAACTGTCCCTGCAGGTTAGGATTACCTTACATAAAGTTTGAGTTCAGATGTCCTGGCTACCTGTACATCTACAGGGCCACTTGGGCTGTAACTGGCCTCTACCTTTGTTGCAATTACATTAAGCCAGTGATTGGCAGGACATGTGCAAAGCATAAATGTTAACAATTTCTAGGAGATGGGCAGCACTCCTGAGATCATGCCTGAGGTGGTTTTTGGGTATTCACATGCATGTGCACACACATACATGCACAGACACACAAAAGTGAAAAAATACACTCACACACAAATCCTAAAACTCCTATGAAAAAGAACTTGGGGTAGTATTCATAGCTACAGAATTTAATCTTTCTTGGCTTGTGCTATAGGCAAGTATGTGGGGCATTTTCTTAATGACAACTGATGTGGCTGAGGGCCCAGCCCACAGGGGCAGCCTGGGCAGCTGGTTGGTCCTGGGTACTTTAGGAAAGCTCAGCAAGCCAAGGAGAGCAAGTCAGTAGAGAGCATTCCTGTCGTGCCTGCCCCAATTAACTGTGATGTGGACGTGTCAGATGGCAGACTCCTCTCGACACTGTTGGTCATAGTGCTTTACCCTAACGCACTAAACTAGGACAGAACCTTTGTGTTAACACAAAAATCTAAGACTATTAACGCAATCAGGCTGCATATCATATTTCAAAAGGCTGTCTATTAATTTCTTTAGGGGGTGTGTGGGTATTTACAGTGACCAATCACCTTTCTCTGTGGACTCACCAAGTTAAACTTCTCCATGTAACTAGGAGAAAGCATTTGTTTAGAGTAACATGTAAGTTACTAGTCCCCTTACATAGCTTTTTTTCAGATTGGGTCTTAGTATATAATCTTGAGAGACTCAGCAAAGCCCAAACCAGTATTTACCAATGCATTCAGCTCAACAGGTAAGAGAACCCTCACTGGACTGGAGCTGAGGAAGTCTGCAGACAGCTGGGTGGTGATGCGCATTTACTAAAGTCTCCTGGGCCTGCTTCCCTGTCCTGTTAAAAATGCCTTTTAAAAATCAAATTCCTGAAGACACGGTGAGAAGAGCCAGTGGCCTCAGAGACCTGGAGTCTGGAGGGTGAGAAATTTGTGCGGAATTCCCTTTCAATCCTGACATCACTTCAACAGAACTGGATTCAGTCTGAGACTTGGGGCTATTTGACAGGGATTTCCAAAGAACTCAGAAAAACTATCAAGCGTTAAATTCCTATGTGAATTAATAACTGTGTAAAATAACTATCAGAAAGTTTGATATCTTTATTCAGAAAAGTGATTCAACTGCAGGAAGATGATCTTTTGAGAGGAAACCCCAAATCTTTTACTGAGCAATTCCATGTAGTCCAAGGTTTATAATCCCAATGAGATTCTTCCACCTGAAGCTTTTCATGCATTCAGGTATTTTGCATGATGCCGGATGTGGTCGGTGATGAAGGTTGCAATGAAGTAGTAGCTATGATCATAACCCTGGAAGACAAAATAAGACATTGTTCTGTACCATTCAGAAACCCCGACATAAATGTCTCTCTTATGAATGAGTCATTCAAACTCTCCTGTCATTTAATTTGCTTGTACATGCTCCAAAAAGCGACAGAATCTGAGGCATGTCACCTGATATTTACCTTTGGCCTCTACATGCACAAGCACACATGGGCACATGTACGCCCATGGAAAGAGGAAGAAAAATTCTCTTACCCGTGTCCTATCTTTATTTGAGAAGAAAGGAATTAATTCATCAAACTCTACATCAAATGGGGCAAGCTGAATCTATTCCAACAAAAACCACTGCTATAGGGAAAGGAAATGCAACCTTCTCTCCTCTAAGTACAAGGTAAGTAGCTTTGAAAGAAATTAAGACTGAAGAACTTCTAAGAGTATTAAAATACCAATGGCCTGGGGAACAGCACCACCTCAGCTGCAATTTAAAAGCAAGGTGGAATAAACTGAAAGTGACAGAAGTCTAAGAACTCATATGTGTGTGTGTATATATGTGTATGTGTGTGTGTGTGTGTGTGTGTGCGTGCTTGCGTGGTTGAACAGTCTGATGGGGAAATGTGAAGTTTCTAAACATGGAAGAGATAAAAACACCCCTAACAAAATATCATCAAGCTTTCACTGGAGGAACAGGGGACTGCCTACATTTTCTTGAGTCAGTACATGCTCTCTTTTCTTGCCAAAAGGTCTGGAAGGTCACTCTGGATCCATCCTGAACTAAGTTCCAATGCAGACACATCCCAGTAACTTAAGAGTAACCTGTCTTCGAGTGTGGAAGAGTATCCAAGAGGAAGGTCACCATGACCAAGACTGTGCCCTAGAATTACTTGATTTCCCACTCAATAATTAGAGTTATGCCTGCTGCCTGCCATGAGGAACCAAGAAGGAGCTTTGAAAGTCTCAACAAGAAGTAAGAGAACACGCTAAGCTACTGGAGTTCTGCTGAAGGTAGACAACTGGAGCTAAGCGTGCCATCCTGGGTAGGGTTCAGTTTCTGGTTACTGGGCTTATTAAATGAGCTCCTTCCACTACATTCTTTGACTAATTAGTCAGTTTGGCTTGTCAAGCAGCTGTGTAATTCCCTATATTTAGCAGCACTTGAGGGGACCTTTCTCCTCCACTCCAAATTCTAAATGGAAAAACATTCAGTAGGAAAGTATGTAAACCCATTCTTTCTGTCTTCAGTCAACTCTCAAAAGGGAAGCAGTGCTCCACCACACTAGATCTCTACATAAAAAGGCAGCACCTCCCTACATACTGTCTAGATCCAATCAGAAAGGCTCAGGTTGAACTTGGAGTGAATAAAGAAGAGCCATGAAAGACCTTCTACACAGAACAACAGAGATGGGCAGAGGTCAAAACAGCTCCTGAATCTTCAAAAAAGCCCTAAGACTTGGACAGAAAGGCTAGCCTTTCTCTTTTCTCTTTTCTAAGAAGGGGGTGCTGTTTCTGGATGTTTCCTCAGCATTAGGTCACTGAACTTTCTCCCCATTTTGTAACTTAAGTAACTAAAATCAGGGCATCTAAGGTCCTACTGTCATAATTGGAGTGTCTGAACACTGCCAGAGTTCTGCTGCATATCACAGTTTTTCAACTTAGATGCCACAAAGCCCCAGATTAAACACTATATGAAATAAATAAATATCCTCATGAACTAGTCCTTTCCTCTCAAGCAATCTTCTTTGGCAACTGACAAAGCATAAATATAAACTGAGAACATTTGCCTACTACAGTCATTTTTGTCTTTCTTTTTATATAAACCTGTTTCCAGCTCCTGTTCACAGAGAGATAGTTATACTTATTAAATGAATAAACCAGTAATTAAAAAATAACAAACAATCCATAGCAAAAATAACATCAAAGCAAACAAACCAAAAGACTTAACCAACAAAGCACCTCTCAGACCTGCAGAAATCTAAGGTCAGGAAGCTGAGCAGGTCTGCAAGTGGCCTCCCTGTGGCCACCACCCAGCAGTGCCCACTCACTGCTCCAGTTACAGCACACCTAACGAAATCTGTCTCAGGCTCTGCAGTTACTCCTTCTGCCTTTGCAGGAAGGAAAATGAATGAAAAGATAGTACCTCGCTGTAAGATTGTAATTGGTGATTTTAGTAAGTTCCTTTGTTTTGGGAAGAATTTACTATTCTGTCTTGGCTCTTTCGAAGGGAGCTAAACTCATTTCTTCATTGCTTGGGATACAGTTAGGCATTTTAGAAATTAATACACTGGTTTATGTTTTCCCCTAACAATGTCATCCATGTTCTAACTCTAGGTTATTGTTTTAACAAACTCCAGATATTTCAGACTTTGCTGGACCAGAAGCTTCCCAGTCTCGGGGAAGCAGACAAAGCACTCAGCGTGCTAATGCCAGGCAGTTAAGGTCATCTGGACAGGAAAGGAACTGGTGTCTCACTCACAGCTACAGCTGATGTGGTTAAACATGGTGCCAAACTTACGACCAAACTGGAATTGGTGTTTCTCAGGTTGGCTATTGAACTAAGTGCCAACTGTAATGGGAAATGTTCAAATAATCCTAAAAAAATGCTATTACTTAAGGATGAAATACACACACAAACCTAATAAATGGAGATAAATATGAATTTGTACGCACACACACATTTTTATATGGTCCACATGATCAAACCACCCTGGCAAACATGGAATTACTAACTCCGTGAAAACTAGAGAGGTAGCAGGCTACATCCAGTCTCCCCTGTGCTAGCTCTAATTCATCCCTCTGCTCTTCAGAACACTGCCTAGAAAAGCCAGAAAGGGACGGGCTATGATCTTGTGTAACAGTCCTGGATCTACCACAAGTTATGACCTCAGACAAGAACTTTACAATGCTGCTCTAAAGCTGACACATGTGTAAAAGGATGAAGGTGCACAGAAACAACCTCACTGGCTAGTGTGAGGACTGCAGGTGAAAGCATGGTGCGAACTGTGGTGAGCCACACTGCACACTGGCTAGACTTATCTAGACTTATCTGAGAATTTATCGTCATAGTTAACTTTAGTAGACATGTCAGACACGCCACCTTTAAGCTT